AATTTATTCCATCCCATTCAGTCCCTTACAGCCTCCAACTTCCATTGCATCTCTTGCTTGGCCTAAGCTAGAAATATGTAGTTGGGTGTCATCAGCACACTAATTTGTGTGTGTGTGTGTGCCTTCAAGACAGTTTTTGACTCCTGGTGACTGCCTGGACAAGTTCCTGCAGGTTTTTTTGGCAAGATTTCAGAAGTGGTTTGCCATTGCCTTCTTCTTCCTAGAGCTGAGAGAGAGTGACTGGCCAAAGATCACACAGCTGGCTTCATGCCTAAGGCAGGACTAGAACTCCTGATCTCCTGGTTTCTAGACTGATGCCTTAACCACTGCACTAAACTGGCTCTCTTATACTAAGAATACCTCATGAGAAATCAATGGGTGACCTCACCCAGTGACTTCATGTAGCTGTTAAAAAAATGGGGGGGGAGAGTCCAAGCCCTGAGTCACCTGACATTGGAGTGCCAAAGAACTCAAACTATCCACCCCCAGCACTGACTGGAACCACCCATTCTGGGAGGAGAAGAGCTATTGTAGAATGGTGCCTCTGATCCCAAACCTCATAGACAGTCCAAAAGGATGCCATGGTTGATAATATTCAATGCTGCTGAGACAACTAACAGTACAAGAAATGTCTCCCCCATCCAGTCCCATTCCAGTTCATCCATAAAAGGGACCAGTGCAGTTTCTGCCTCATGTCCAGACTTGAAGCCAGACTGGAAGGGTTCAGCCATGAGGTTTAATAAATTAGTATGTTCACAATATACTCACTAGTACCTTGTGAGAAAGGCAGTTCCACTAAAGGAAAGTTTAAGGGAAAAAACTGAGCAAAATATCTCAAAATCAGCTTTACCACTGACATATGTCTTTCTTGCCACATCACTTTTTTATGTTGTTTGAATAACTGCAGCTAAGCAATCTGAAAAAGTATCTTCAGGAAAGGCTTAGTCAAACTCTTTCTTGTGCAATTCCCTTTGAGCTCAATTTATATTTTCTACCAGATTCTTTGTGACACAATAAATGTAACTAATTCACAGGATGGTTTACCCAAGATAATGGAAAGAGTGAAAGACATTTTCAGTAATTAAAGCTGCTCCTATGGAAGCCAGGGTGGACTGAAATTCCCACCAATCACTCATGAAATAAAAGCTGAAATGTTGAAATGCATGAGAGAAAAGTAAAAGCTTTCACCCATTACTATTGACAAACATCAATGCACACTATTTGCTATTCAATGTGTTTCACTTAATATGACTTAATAAATCATGTCATATGTTTTCTGCAAGGATAGCAAGGGAGTGGCATGCATCCATTTTATCTTTATAATAACCACAGGTGTTAAATTGTTAGTTAGGCTTGGGAGAGAAGGAAGCCAGAGTGCTGCATATGAATCTTCTTACATCTGTATCTTTAGTCTAACATCTCTCTCTATGACCACATTTTGGGAAGCCACTGGCTATTTTGCTTCCTTATCACTGAAGAGCTTCTCTTGTCTCAACAGGTCTGAAATCACAGAAGGACTGGGCCACCCAAGAATGAGCAGCAGACGTGTTAAGGAAAACCCGGGCTACCTTAGCATTGGAACTTTGAGGACAGTGTATAGGAATAATAATAAATATGGAAACAGAAGTGAAAATGGTCTTGCTAAAGGTTTGACAATTGTGCATCGCCTGGAGAAAGTGATTTTATGGATTTTGCCCTCACAAGATAAAAGAATGGCCAGTAGCTTAGATGTCTTTAGCAAGGACCACTAACTTAAATGCAGTCAGGTAGCAGTTCATTGCAGGCTGCTGGGCAATCACTGAAACTAAGATCCTTTTTCTTCCACATGCCTCTGCAATAGAAGGAAAGTGTTACAAGTGTATGTATGTCTCCAATCCTTTGCTTTGCAATAGGAAACTGTGGCAACCTCCCATGCCCCCTGGTCCCCCAGCTTGATTTCTCAACATAGAGGAACATGGATTGCAGCCAGAGATGGCAAGATTGACTTGGAGGAAGGCTTCTTAGATTGGGCTTAAGGCATGTTTGGGATGGCTAGGAAACCTCATGGTTCAGCATGTGGTATTCATAATGACAGACATAAGCAATCTTTCAATTCACCTCTGAATCCCTCTGAATAGTAGATACAACAAAATAAAACTGTTTCTTTTGTGTTTTGCTTGTGGGCTTCCCTAAGGCAGCTATGAAAAATTGAATGCTGGGCAAGATTAACCTTTAGACCAATCCATCAGGATATCAGTTTCAATTTTTATTTTTGCCTGATGGAAATCACTCTATCCTTTACCCTATTAAAGTGATAGAGCAGTGCTGACTGGGGAATTCTGGGAGTTGAAGTCCATACATCTTAAAATTGCCAAGGTTGAGAAACATTGCTTTACACCATGGTGCATTTCAGTATTTAGTTAACAGATAGAGGTGAAAAACTCCGTGCAACACTATAAACACTTAACTTCTTATGCAATCAACTTTCTACTAGTTTCCTGAAGCTCCCCAAAATGAACATATTTAGGTGGCATTTTGTTTGGGTCATATATTTCCAGCATTCACCCAGTAATGAAGATGGATAAGATAAAATGTTCCCTAGGGAGAAAACAGGGTGGATTTGCTAGTAAAAAGATTTTTCTCATGAGGAAAAGTGCCTCACGCAATGCCAAACATGAGTTTGCAGGAAGAAAATCATTGGGTTTGCTAAGCAGACCTAAAGCTATTACCTAATGTCAAAAAAGGAAGAGAGGAGGAAGGGAAAAAATGAACATCCTTTAATCCAAACAATGTTGGACTGTTCACTCTTTTTCCTTTAATAGCAATTAATTGGTTAGAGGTTTCCTAGTGATGTTAAAAATATTCTGGGGTCTCAACAAAGTCCCAACACTGTGCTCTATGAGGCTTTCTCTGTCTTTGAAGGATGTACAGTGTTAATACTTGCTGAAGTCATTTCATATGTCAAAAGAAGCAGTTGCCTTTATTCAATACCCTCTAAAATTTAGTAGTCTTAACACGCTTCCATAGCAAATTGTAGCCATGGAATTAATAAACAGTAATTGGTTAAAAGTCAGCATTTAATTAGCAAAAAACCTTTAGCTGGTTGATAGGCTTTTGTAAATCATTCCCTTAAAATATAGCCATTAGTTGGCTGTTATCCTCAGAGGGGAACTGCCATCTACTATAACAAATCAATATGAACCAGGAAAGGACAAATTTGTCTAATTTTGATCTTAGTTGGTTTTTCATGTCTAGAATCACAGGTCCACTCCATCCAATTTCCACGTCAATCTGTGATTTAAAACACACACTCAAACAAATGTATTGCTTTCTGTTGTCAAGTTTCCCCTCTTGCACACATTTTTAACACAATTTGCCCTACTAGGCCCATTTTTGTAGAAACTTTTGCTCATATACATATTTTCCATTCATTCTTTACTAATTACCCATAGATAAATGAGATTTTAAAAAGCATGAGACACCCTTCTGATGCCATATTAGAAACTAACTTTCTAATGTTCAAGGATGTGTATTTGAAAGCTTTAGATCTCCCATTCTATCCAAAGCATTTTATTTTACAACAATTTTATTTCACATATTTTCTAATACGGTAGTTTATTCTCTCCCAAATAAGAATGTGACGTTTTATATAGCAGAAAAATAATACATCTAAAGAGTCACCTCTGCTTGCTAGAAATCTATACACCTCTTATTTCTATTCCACATTTATTTAATACACAGGGTTTAAGCATAATAACTGTATTTAACTGATTGCATCTAGTTTTAGTTAAGCTAACATTCAAATTGAATTAAACTAAACTTAATGTTTATTCCTGGCCCTCTACTTTGTGGAGCAGGTCGTCAAATGTGGCCTTGGCCCAAAAAAGTTGTGCTCTAAAGTTTCATTCCCCATCAACAGCCAGTATGGCTTAAATATGGCTTCTTATGACCTCTCCCCAAGTAAAGACTAAGTAAACTGTATCTTATTTTATCTTTTGTCAGTTCTAATTGTGATGGGTGGGGTTGATTTTTGCCTATGAAATTCTATATCAAGCCAAGCATACAATTGGCAATATGAATGAATGAATGAATGAATGAATGAATGAATGAATGAATGAATGATTTCTGTTCTGATGGACATGGCTCTACAATAGACTTCTCTCATTCTGATGGGATGAGGAGTATACTTTGTGATGTTTCCTTGGGGAGGCTGTTGTTGTATTACACAACATTTCATTACCATAGCATTAGCAATCTGATACAATAGCCAAGTATGCTACATTTCTAGCTAATTACTAAATTAAAGCAAGTCATAGGCAGAAGGAAAATAACATGTATTCATTTATTTTTTCTTAATTGAGTTTAAAGTTATTGTGCATAATATTAACAGGAGTAGAAAATTATGTAAAATTCCTAACACTCAGTAATCAATGTTGGCACCTAGGTGACCTTGTGCCTGTTATTTTTTCTAGCTTGAAATAGTTATGCTCTCATAATTTACTTTCATAAATGTATGAAACCACAAAGAATGTGGTTTTTTTTAATGACTTTTAGAAATAGATAAAATGAATTCGGGGGCAGGGAAATAAGCTGATCAATTTCTGTTCCTGGGTGACTTTGAGATAATTGCTGTGTTTCAGCCCAAGTCTTTACAGGGTAGTTGTGGTTAAAAACTGAAGGAGAAAATTCAATGTACACCCTCATGAGCCCTCAGAGGAAAAGGAGGATATAAATACTTATTTATTTTATATAAGCAAATAAATTAAACACAATAGATAAATAGGAGGATAGAGATTTAAACACCATAGTCTGGAATTTTGTAAAAAATAAACTTATCAATGGATTTTACTTATAACAACTACTTTTCTAAGAACAAATTGTTAGACAAAAACAAGAACTGTGTAATAGTACTCTTTTGATATTTTAAGCAATTAGCTTCTCAAATTAAAGTATATCAAAATGCCCCATTTGTGTCAGAGTAATGGCTCCCACATAAAATGGCTGCAACTTCATCATCCTACCTAAGATGGCCACCACCTCATCGTCCTGTATGACTTCTAACGATCCTGAGACAACGAAGCAGAGGGCATCTACACTTTCACCAGCGTGGTAGATGAGGTCCCCAGGAGCACAATGGATCGTCTGAAATTCCACTGCAAGTGCCCGCAGACAGCCATCACTCGCTAGCCGAAAAGCTGGATGTTCATTAAAAACCTTCCGATTGAGATGCACACAAATATCTGCTCTCATGTCCTTGGGACAAATTGAAAGGACCTGGAGAAAGAGGAAAAACATGATAATAATTGCAATTTAAAAAGTCAGTATGAAGACTGACATAGGAAAAATTTAACTACATTAACACATTATACTGCTTAAAGAGCTCCACAATATTCGTTTAATAAAATCTTTAAGACTAACCTGTATTACATGGCCATACTGCAAATGTGTAATGGAGACTAGATGGTAGTAATTTATCTTAAGGCTTCTAGATGAATCATAACAAAAGAAATGTTGGAATCAGGAATTTGAATCATTGTGCAAATATTTTGCAAAGAGACTACACTTGTCCCCCATATACGCAATAAATGTAGGTCGTACCAAGATTCACATTGATTTTAAATTCCCATTGTTTTATGTTCTATTTTATAGTTGAATTGTTCTTATGTTTTTATGTTGTAAGTTGCTCAGAGAACTTTGTGTTTTGGGGTATCATATGCAAGTTATAAATGAAACAAATGAAAACATTTAACACTTAACTGAATTCAGCAGGATTAACTTTCATATAACATGCAAGTCTTTGGATAAATAAGTCTGTATTCCCTAAATCTCCAAAGCCATTTTATTTTTGTTTACTTTCTTTCTTTCTTTCTTTGGAAAATAGACTTCTTTTCAAAAATGTTTTCAGAGAAAGTTGCAATTAATCAAAAGCAGATTAATAGCACCAAAACAATCTAAGAGCTGTTGATTAAAAACAGAAGCGGCACTGAACAAGAGTAGGTTCTTAAAGCATTGCCTGAAAACAATGCTTTGATTAATGGAAAGAACTAACATTCTAGACCTAAATTTAGTCATTGATTTTAGAGTATGGGGCTGACACTGAAAAAAAACCTGTTCAGTAGTAGCCAGAAGCTGCACTGAGAATTTTTCATCCTTAGATCTGTGATCCTCATCCATCCATTATACTTTTCATCATGAACCTGTCCCATACTGACCTCACTCTTCAGATGTCTACAGCTGTAACAGCGTTTTTTTTTTTCTTCCTGCTGGTTAGGTGCCCCCACATTGGGCTTGGCTCCCAGTGACTTCATGGATAAACGCTTGCAACCTTGCTGCCCCTGCAGATACTCACACTTAATTTTTGACTATTTACAGGTAGCCAATGTCATCCAGGTGAAGTTGGCAGGAATGGGGACTATCCAGAGCACTCCTATGGTGAGCAGTCCTGACAATTGAATGCCTAAGCTAGATTTTAATATAAATCCAAGGTCCATAGAATATTTTTTTTAAAAAAAATATCCTACCTTCTGAGAACCTTGTGTTGGCTTATTTACCTCCCAAGGAACCACGCAACTTCAGTGCACTGCAAGGAATTCTGGGAAACTGGGTTTCATCTTGTTCCATGTGAATTAGGAGAATGACCTAGAACAATGCCCCGTTCCAAGCCACTCTTCCATAACTTTAGAGAAGGATGAGTAATTGTGGACTAATTAATTAATTAATTACTCTTTAAGCAAACTTATTGTCAGGTTCAGCCCAAGAACCACAATGAGACAGTCCAGGAACAGCTCTGTTTCTTTATTAGTTTGCACCTAATAGAATCTCGCCAGACTAACTCTAATTCCCAAGAACAGCAATTATAACCAGCCTTTAGGGAAAGGCCAGTCTCCTTTTCTTCAGTGTCACACAGTCTGGCTGGGGGCTGATGGGATGCTTTTCTTGGAATGTCTCTCCCCCCCCCCCCCCATAACCCTGAAGCTCCATACCAGAGTCCTCCTGCTCATGCCTTCCATCACACTTATCTACTAAAATGAAGATCTTCCTCAAGGACAAGTAGCTTTATTCCATGCCTTATTTCCTTTAGAATTTCATGGCAGGGTGGTGAACAGGGACTGTGATGGACACAACTTTTAAAATTAATACTTTGAGGACTGCTGACTTATCTCCACACATAGATCACAGAATCACAGGGATGTACCTGCCTTTGAAAGCCACTTGGTCTTATGAAAACTAAAGCCTAGTCCAAGCAAACCAGAGCTAAACCTTTAAGAAAGATGGCTTTCTACCCTCCTTTTGGAAACTTCCACTAGAGACAATACTAACCCTCTACATACTGATTCATTGCCAAGCTGCTCTTACCAATAAATACATATTTGAAAAATTCTTCTTTACTCTTAGATTTCATAATTAAAACAAATTATTTACTTGTTTGGGACTCTCTGAGTCAATTCTACACATGCTTACTTTGAGGTAGTTCCCACTGAGTTCAGCAGGATTTAATTTCAAGTTAATGCTTTTAGGATTATACCATGAAACATTACAAAAAGAAAGCTATATCCTGAATAGCTCTTACTATCCTTTTCATGTCATCAGAAAGTGGACTGGCATGTTGAGAGAGAAAGAAAAACTTCTCAAGTACATGGATATCATTTCAAACAGCATTGCTTTTTGTAGACACAATAGTGACTCTTTCATCATGGTTCTCCAGCAGTTTAGAAAGGTGAGAGTACACTGCATAGAGAAAAAAGGCAGCTAAGCCATCAGGAGAAATTCAATAATTAACTGAAGCTCTGTGCCAAAAGGTTTGAGTTAAGCCACTTCCAACTAAATATAAGCAGAGAGAGAAAGAGAGTCCTCTCTCAACAACAATGAACTATGATCTACCCACCAGATATGGACTTGATTTTTTCATCTTTAAAATGGAAATGAAATCTCAGCTAAAGAAGCAGTGTTCATTACAAAGTCTCTGCCTTTAAATTTTCAAAAGGCAAGGACAGGGAACGTAGGCTCCTCCTCTCTTATAGCTAATTTAATATCTAGGAAAGGGTGAGAATTAGCCTGGTATTATGACACATCAAATTTCTGCTCCAGCAGAAAACCTTGGGTGAATATAGGAGTTGTGCTCCTCATCAGCCACATCAGTATGTGTACACATGGACAGATCTATTTATTTCTATTTTGTATGTTTTCTCATTTTTGAAACTTGGAATCATACCATCCCATTTCTGCATGATTTTTTTAAAATACATATATGACCATTTGTAATTTTCCCAATATACTATTTTTATAATTTTTTCTTCAGAATGCAGCCTTCTCCAGGGCCAACTCTTGCATTTGAATGGCCTGCTGGGAGCCGCACTGAGTGCTCTGTGCCTGAAGTAGACTTTAAGAAGCCAGCCGTATGAATGAAGTCTTACTTAGTTTGGCCTTCAGTGAACAATTCTATTTTCCACCTCTCTGAAAAGTTTAGATTTTGACTTCGCTATTCTCTGATGTGGAATAGGAAATGTATTGGAGCTGATGTGTGACATGGATCTGTGCTTTCTTTCTGTTCTTGCACAAGAGACTGACAATAGAGTTGTTAGATAAGAAGGTGTGAGAAGGCAGGGAGAAGTGAGGGCCTCAAACGAACCATGTTTGCTAGGGG